AGTGTGGGGTGCAGATAAGGAGAAACAGCAAAAGCATGTGCCCACTGCGCCCTCTGCCAGGTCACCCCTCCCCTGACTTTGTGTAGCTGGGACCTTCTCTCCTACAAGTCTCTGTTCAAATATTACCTCCACAGGGAGGCTTCCCTTGACTTTCCAACCTGAGTAGATCCCATTCCTGGTTCTTCTCCCTGTCTCGCTGTTTTGGTTACTTAGTGCCACTTTGACAGGAATATCCATAAATGGGATGTCTTGAACCAACAGTTTATTCTCTTACGGTTTCAGAGGCTTTAAGTCCAAGTTCAGAGTGCCAGGCTCTAGGGTCTGGGTGAAAGCCCCTCAACCTTAGGCTTCAATTCTGCCTCTTGCTCCCAGCCCACTAAAGATGGAGGCTTTGATTTACTCAGACATCTGCTGGGTGCTGCGGCTGACAAGCCCAAGGTTGACAAGTAAAAAGGCACCATCCCAATATTACCAAACAACATGGCAGGCCACTAAGTCAAGTCCCGAAGAAGTCCCAAGATCGGCAGGGCATGGCAGGCTGTTGAACGATGACTTGGCTACACGCAGGGCTCAAGCATGCCAAAAGGCTGGAAACCAATCCCAATGCTGCTCCTTATAATATGGGAAGCAGACTACATCCTTGGAGCAGCTACTCAGCTGCTCATGGCAGATTTCACCATGGAGTTGATTGCCAGTCTCATCATGGGGAATAACTACCACCAGCTGCCCAGGCAAGTTGACAGCAACCACACTCCCCCTTTCCCCATTCATATCTGCACTGATCTACCCGGTTCAGTTTTCTGGAGGCTGATGATCCCTTTGGTATTTACCACCCAGGCTCCTATGCCAGGTGGTTTCAGGTTCTGCCAGTTGGAAGGAGATCAGTGGGGAAAGGAAAGAGAAGTTATTACCCCTCCCACCCCCACCCCCCACTTTAGATCATGATTCCAGCCATGGTGCCCCCTTCATAGCAGGAGTCCTGCCAGGTGACGCCTCCTCCACACTTCCAGCTCCCACTGGACTCTGACAACACCATTTCTTCTCCTTGCCCCCAATACAGCCCTCTGCTGTTGCTCAGCACCAGGTGCCTGACATCTCTTTAGCTTCCCTTAGCCTACCCTCTGAGTCTTCCCTTCTTTCATGTCTCTTCATAGGAATCATCTGAGCAGAATTCTGGTTTTTTGTCAGGATCCTGAATAGATCCTCCCAGTTAATCAGTATTTCAGCACCTTGGTTTTTTGTTTTGTTTTTCACTTTGTAGCACTTACTACAACTATCATTATTAATTAGTTAATTTTCTAAGTGGTTTGTTTGATGTCTTTTCCCACTAGAGGGTCAGTTCTAAAAGCATAGATATTATCTGATGATGAGAAGGTGCTCAATAAATGTTTATTAAATGAGTGGATACATGCCAAGGAACTCTGGTGGCACAGTGCCTAAGGCATTTGACAGCTAACTAGAAGGCTGGTGGTTCAAACCCGCCACCTTCTCCATGAAAGGAAGATGGGGCACTCTACTTCCATAAAGATAAGGAGCTCTGATGGCATAGTGCCTAAGGCATTTGACTAACCACGAGGTTGGTGGTTCAAACCCACCAGCCACTCCACAGAAGGAAGACTGGGAAATCTATTTCCATAAAGATTTACCACCTTGGAAACCCAAAGGTGGTCACTACGAGTTGAAATCGACTCAATGACAGTGAGTTTGGTTTGGTTTTGGATGCATGCCTGGATGGGTGGATGGACAGACAGATGTAGAGAGTGAGGTTTTGGGTTTTTTTTTTGGCACTAGATTGTTGTTTTTTTAATGTAAAGATTTTTTTATTTGCTGAGGAAGGTAATGATTGTTAATATCAGATGGTGATTATTTTAAATAATAATAAGGGAGGTTTGAGTGTCCTAAATGGCTGCAGGGTCAGAGTGGAAGAAGAGAAGTGAAGAGGGGCCCCAGTTTTGTCTCTTATGGAAGCCTCTCCTAGGCTTTTCCGTCCAGTGCCGTGCCATGTGCCATGCAGAGCAACCACAGCATACTTCCAAAAGAAAAAGGAAACAGTGGGCTGCGGAGTGAGTCTGCGAACCGTAGAATCTGCTTTAATAAACAGCATCGTTTTCAGCTTGAATGGCCAAGACACGTTAGAACTCATAACTAGTCAGCTACAGTCTGGGCCGTGTTAGGGCATCCACTGAGCTAAGTGACACCTTGGGGCAGTTTACCTGTGTGCCCGCTGTTCACTCCAGTCTTGTCACCAGAGTTTACCCGTGTGCCCGCTGTTCACTCCAGTCTTGTCACCAGCCATCTTGGGACAGTTTACCCGTGTGCCTGCTGTTCACTCCAGTCTTGTCACCAGAGTTTACCCGTGTGCCTGCTGTTCACTCCAGTCTTGTCACCAGGCTTCTTGTCCTTTGAGTCAGGTATTCCCTTCTGAGGACCAGTGAGAAGTCCAGGTCTACCTCTTCTCTCTTTGACCTTGTCAAAATTAGATAATTGAGTGTGAACATGGCCCCTTAGAGCTAAGGCCATTTAAACTGTTAGCCTCCAAATTTGTTTTCAGAGCCAAAACACCTGCCTTATTTGGTTATTTTGTTGCCCTCTCTTTCTTCATAAATCTTTTATTTTATGAGGATGCAAACTGGTTAGACCATCTCAATAAATTCATTTAATATTCTTCGAGTTTTGAGACCAAAAAATAAAAAACCCAAAGGATTGCAACTAATGTTATGAAATAAAATGTATATAAATGATTGGATGGAAAACAAATTTGCTTTGTAAACTTTCACCCAAACCACAATAAAAAGTTAAAAATAAAAAGAAAAGAAAAGCCAATGAGGAGATGGCTACATCCTTCCCCATGTCGAGAAATCATCCTGCTTCGTAACGATGATGAGTTGTTTCCTGACGTGATTTCTTATGCTCAGGTCTCAATGTTTCTTAAGTGTATTTCTTTGGCTTCCTAATATTTTTACTGCCCACTAATTGGAGGTACCTAATCTGAAGAAAAAGTTCGAAATAGTCTCAAAATATTTAGCTCAGAATCTTAGAAAATGTTAAGGAAACCTGAAGAAATAAATATGTGTGTTAGAAGTTGCTGGTTGGTTAAGTAGTTACACAGTATAATCATGTCCTTTAAAGTTCTTCTGTCTGCTGGCCTTTTGTGTGGTCCCAAAGGAAAGAGCATCCTGTGCCTTCCCCTGAGGTGCTCCTCTGTCTCACATCGGCCTGGGCTGGCCTGCCCAGGAGGGGAGGGACAGCTGTCCTAGCAGTGCTGTCACTTGCTCGATGATGAGCAGACACAGTGCCTGGGAGCCCTCTGAGGAGACCCCCAGGACACTTTGGCCTTGCCTCTGTGACTTGGCCTCTGAGCAGCACAGAGACTCGGACTACAAGGGGGTGCGCCCGTGGGTACCGACAGGCTTCCACATCAGTGATTTCACTGTCCAGCCACAGACCCATCAGGAAGGGAGGCGGTCAGCAGGAGGGCAGAGACTGCAGTCACCGTCTTACCGGTGAAAAAGCTGTGCAGGTGTTGACCCAGTATGATGCAGTAGACTAGTACTAGCAGTAACAGCAATGGTAGTAACAATAGTGCCGGTAGCTGTCGTAACAATAGATAACAGTCACATGGTAATGATAGCAGCTAACACTATGAGCGTTTGCTATGAGCCAGACCCTATTCCAAGTGCTTTACGTGTATGGACAACAACTCCATGA